TGTTGGTGTAGCTGAAGCTTGGACTATTTTTGAAGACCTTAAAGGTGATCAAGGGATGTTTTGATATTCTGGAAGCAGTAATGGATTTAGATCCAAGCTTAATTTTGTGTTCAAGAAGAAGGGAACTGATGTCCTACCAATTGGGACATTATAGTAGATGCTATGGGTGCTAAACAAATGTGTGATGATCACATATGTTTGGAACCTAGTCCTAATTTGGAAGAGGAGGCATCTAGGCTGTGTATCTAAGATGTTTTATCCAGAAAACATGTCTTAGATTGGTGGGCTGGTTAAATATCGATTAACCAATTAGTTACTTCTTGGTTCAGTTTATTTCTGATCCAAGATAGTAGAAGTGCAGAGGTTGTGCTCTAGTTTCTAGTAGAGTTATGTTATCTCATCCAGGTTCCTTGGACATAAAGGTCAAATGTCAAGGACAGTCTCTCTGATATATGGAGGATCCTTCTGATCAAAGGAGCCAGATTTATGGAATCTTGTTTATGGCCATAGAACATATTCTGTTTGAGGGGTGTAATGGTGGTGTTCACTAACTACATGTGTATTGCTATTAAAGTGGAGAATGTTTTATTCTCAAGGTACTCCTAGCAGTTGATGAAGAAGAATCTCAAATCTGGAGTTGAAGATTCTTGAAAAGATATCAGATACAATGTTTTGACATCCTTGTGTTGAGAATTTATTTTTCTGAAATGTGTTTGGCTAATGTTTCTTATAAACATGATAAAGGTTGTTTACTCTAACTTTATATCATTTATCAAGTCTATGAGAGCATGAAACTCTTGTTCTGTTAAAGAGAAAGGTCTGTCAAGAGGCTGTGTGCATTGAAGATGTTTGCACTTTTGAATATCATCCAAATCACATAGGATGGAAATTTCGAATTTATGTCTGGAGCAAGGAGAAGTCGCTGGAGTTCAATCATGTGGTGTCCTCACATGATGGAAAAATGATCTTTGCAAGGATTGAAGGGCATCCTGTGGAAATCATAATTAATCTGAACAGTCTGCTCGCGGCATTTAATGATCATCTAATGCCATGTTTGTTGATGTCTGCTCCAGATAACTGCTAAAGGGAATCTCCTCTTTAGGTGCAGAAGGAAGGCATTTATCACCTCAGAATCTGACAGAAGGTCTGGAAATTGTGCTTATGAAGAAAAGCTTCTTGAGGCCTGCTACATATAGTTGTTGTATGTATTAGTGAGATGATCTTAAAGGTTTATCAACTACTGATGGTTGATCCTCTTATGTTCCTTCAAAGAGTGGTACTTGGTTTATTATGGTGTTGTCTCCAGAACCATAAATAAGGAATAAATCCAAATGACTAAGAATGATGACTGAATAAGTTGTTGGAACATCATCTCAGGTGGTTGTTGCTTCAGAAGGAAGCTTGGTTTGAAGATCATGGGGTGAATATTGTTGTTCACCATTGGATTCCTAAGTTGTAATGAATGACCATGATGGAGTATGAAGTCCATTCTCTGATCAAGTCTGGAATATTGACAAGAATCTTCTTGTGTTAGAAAGGATGTTAGATTACATGTTCTAACATTTATTAACGGAAATCATCATCTGTAGTTTGTGTGTTAGGAAGTTTTTTTCTCTGATGACAAATACCTTGTCGGGAGCTGGTTATAAGTATGATCTTGTGAACATGTGCATGTTACTGATGGTAAAGACCTTTTCAGGAGTTGGGTACTTATCTGTTATATGGATGCAAGTTTATGAGAGTTTATTTCTCTCATTTTGTGTTGAGGTGTCTATGATTACCTGAATAAGCTGCAAAAGATGTATACTTTTGAGATCTTCTTGTTTGAAAGGACTATCAAGTATAATGAGATATATGAATGATAAATTAAGAACCCATTGATTGGGTTCTGAGAAGAAAAGTTGATGTCCTAAATGATGTTGTAACATCATTATGTCATCCTTGAAGGAGGTATGTGATTATGATTATGGAGGATTGAGGATCAACTTTGTTGTCAGGAAGTGGAATTTCTGACTATGAGGATCAGAATGTGTAGATTCTGATCCTGTCTATAGTAGCAAGCTTGGAGAATGCATGACTACTATGTTGAAGTCTTCACTAGTATCAGCAATTACTAGTGAATGGAAGTGCATAAGAAGATTATCAGATATTGAGGTCTAATCTGAATAGTTGTTTTTGGAGGTGTTCTTCTGATCAAAGTGTTTGTTTGACTTTCAGTAAAGCTTTTAAGCAAACATAGAATTTATAGAGAAGTAGTTTCTTGTGAAGAAAGGAATATATATTTTTTGACATGTGAGTGATGTCAAACCTAGTATGCATGACAATCTGAAGATCATGATACTGTGTAGATTTAAGAGGACATTTATCAGATATGTCCTTAATGAAGAAAATAAGGAGCTAGAGTATCTAGTTCAGGTTTATGTTCACAATGTGTGAATGTGTTCACCAGGAGCACTGGTTATCCATGACAGGGGGGATCAAGTGACTGTCTATGGATTGTTACTGCAACTGTGCAGCTATTGTTGAAGCTTGCGTGCTAATCAAGCTTATGGAGAAGAGTTTATGCCTCTTATGAGGGTGTCATGTCAGACAACATGTTGTGACATAATGTACTGATTGATGGTTTTGAAAGGGCATGTTTGACTCAATAAATATGAAGTTGGGTGATTGAATCAAAAGTACACATATCTCTTTAGTGTCTGAGAGAACTTTTTTCTCTATAGATTTTGGAAGGACTCTCTGAGGGTCTTTATTATTGAGAGTTGTCACATATGTGATATTCTGATGTTTTTGTATGTGCCACTAAGTCTAAGTGAAAGGAGTAGACTTAGAGTCCAATTGAAGGTTTTAAGCTGATGGGTAAAGTGGTGTTGGTCACGGGTTTGTGCATTCAAGAGAAAGAAGACAATGTCTGACTGGATGTCAGGATATTATTCAGGACATTTTTCCTATGTGATCAACAAAGAAGTTATATGGATAGTGTAACCAAACACGTGTTTGAAAAGAGTGTATAAAGTGTGTTTTAATGTGCATGTTCATGTATTGGGACTATTTCTTTTCAGCGGAAATAGTCCAGAGCTAATAAAGACATTCAAAGCTGTCTTGGATGGTGCACATTGATTTTAGCAGTAGTTTTCTCCTCAAATAACATTTCCTTTAACCAAGAACATCGTTTCATTCAAAGATCGGTAATTCCTAAGTAACTGATAAGATATTTATAGAGGGTTCTCCTGCTTTCTTTCACCGTAGAGTGTTTGGTGTATCCATAATTGTTATGGGTTTTGTTCGGGTTTGGGTGAGATGTACCTGGGTTTGGTTGTATGAAGGCTTCCTTTGCCAATTTCTGGATAAAAAGGGGCAGAGAGGTGCTTAAGATGCTCAGTTGTTTAATTTGTTGGAGGGTGTTTTTCAGATGTGTCACAAAGATATTGGAGAGGATGTTTTATCTTGTATGTCTGTTTTGTGACTTGTCTTCTGAGTTGTGAATACAGTTGTGGCCTGTGTTCTGAGTTACCAAGGGTGGTGGTTTATTTGTCTAGGTCAATTGGTGGCTGCTGATCAAAAAGTGATTGAGAGATCTCTTATGCCACCATTGGTCTTCTGTGACAAGGGATGTTTCTTGGTTTGAGGGGGAGATATTAGTTATCTTCCTCCTCATGTACACCAACATGCTTCAGGAAGTTCTACTTCTTTTTCTTGAAGGTGATAATCATTGGTGTTGAGTTTATGTGCTGCAATTGAGTTCATTCAGAATGTTTTAAAGAAGACGTTGAACAAAGACGTCCTAACGTCTTTACTGAAGACTGACTCCATGATGTTGTGCTGCGGAGCTTAGTAGTTTCTGAGCACTAGTTTTTGTGGATATTTTTGTTTATTGTTGTAATATTGTGTTGAAATTTTAATGTATTTGTTTTATCCAAAATTTTCCAAAGGGGGAGATTGTAAGTTCCTTAGTTTTAAGGATTGGCATTAATATTTGTAAAAAAAAATATAGCAGCAATATGTGATAGGATGTATTTACTTGCTAGGAAGAACCGATTAAACAAGAAGTCCTATTTTATGTTGGGACATGTTGAGTTGAAGTGTTTCAACATATGGAGCAACATGTCAGATAAGATGTCCTATGTAGGGTCATACGACATCTCTCTTGAACTGAGCTGGATTAGTGGATTATGCTATGATTTAACAAATGCATAATATTCCGGGAATGTTATGTAATCCTATGTTACACTGATTTAAAGGTCAAGAAGAATCAAGTATGAATATTGAAGATTATGCAGTTTCTAAATATGGAGATATTTTAGGAAACTAATGATTAAAGACCTTGTTTATGGCATAAGTTACCGTTGATTTGTAACAACTGATGAGCTGTGATTGAAGGCCCAAATCTAGTTGGGTATAGGTTATAAATAAAAGTCTTTGTAACCTAGAAAAAGCACGTGTTTAAGATGTAGAATTAGGGCTTTGTCTTTGTGCGGCTCTCTAGGACAGCTAGTATTATTCTCATACATAAGTTGTGAAGTAATGAGTTGAGTATTGTTCTTGGAGGAAGCTTGTAAGAAACTCTAAGTATTTTTCTTAGTCAAGAGTGTTGGCTAGGTATTTTCATGGAAGTGAGTCTTCTACTTTTCTATCATGGAAGTGTGTCTTTTTGTTTGTCAAATCGCTGTCTGTGATTAATGAGGGATTGAGGAGGGCCTCGTATTTAGGTGAGTCTTATATAGAAGTCTAGCAAGGGTAGTGATTAAGTGATTAGGCCATACACTGGATGTTTGTTGTGGGGTATATGAATTGATACTATTTTAGTGGACTTATCCCTGGCTTGGTAACACCCAGAGTATGAAGGTTGTTCCGATTTGGGTTAACAATTTATGTGTGTTGTTTATGCTTTTCAGTACTGGTTTTAAATTGTTTATACATTTCCGTAATATTTAATTCAGGTTAGATGTCTCAACATGTCATAGGGCACCGAGTTCTGTCATACCAGAATTTCACACGTCATGTTTGAACCTCATACAGAGGTTTCCAGTTCTAAATCAATCTCAAGCTCTGAGTTTGATAACTTTGAGTTTAGACCTCTTATGGTTGAACCTCTTCAAGCTATTCCTCTTAAAACTAAACCCATCGGCACCCAAAAAAATGATCAAAACAGTTCTATTTAACCATACCTAACAAACCTAGTTTAGATTCAAATTCTAGTTCAATCTTAAACTGAACAAATAATTGAAGACCAATCTTTACCAAAACCCAAACCCAACTTGAGCCTAAAATTCAACCTAATCTTGTTTAGTCTAATTTGAAGTTCAACCCGCATTTGAACTTTAGAATGGAGCTGAGCAAGAGACCCAAGACCAAACCAACACTAAAAACCACCTTGTTCAACCTCAACTAGATATTGAAGCCCAAACTGATCTTCAACAAGTCATTTTGGGCCAACCTCAACCAGAAGTCACAAAATATCAAATTGTGCCTGAAATACCCCTTAACCAACAACCTCGACCATATGATCATCACCTTTCTCCTACTAGAGAAGCAGATGATGTGTTAGAATCTATCACATTAGCTCTATCAATTCCCTCTACACCTCACCCCACTCAAAAGCTAAACCTTCCACCATATGTCATATACTAAATGGAAGAGTTTAGGATTGATATCTTTGAAAGGGTTCAAAACCCGGTTACTGAGAGGCTCATTGAATCTGATTTCATAGCCTATGCCGCTAAATGGGACACTCTCAGAACCTCTGTGGATACAGTCCTAAAAAATCTCAAGTCTTCTCATCTGAGTTTGTAGCTTCTTCTAGTCAGAAGCATGATTACTTAGAGGAGAAATTGGCTTATGTAGTTTCCATTCAAGAGGTCTTTTTTGCTAAGCAAGAAGAGATGGATGTTCATATGAAGCTAGTGACTATTGTAACACCCTAAAATTCATATACTTATTTAATTAATTAATTGTGAGTATTTACGAATTATTGATGAATATATGATGTTTTGTTGAGTATGGTGTGTGATGTGTTGATATGTTATGGGATCATAGGAATTTCGATGAGTAAGAAGTATTCTAGTAATTAGATACTTAGTTAATAATTATTTAAAATTTGTTAGAATTATTATTAATAATAAAATAGACGAATCATTGATGTAGAGAAAATAAGGGCAAGATGGTAATTGGTGAAATACTAAGTGAGGACAAGTTGGGCAAAACGTATTAGGGGTCCAAAGGTTAAACAAGGAATAATGGAAAATATTTCACTTGGTACGATCGTGAAAACATTGGAAGAGAAAAGGTGAAAGTTAGGGCACGAAGAACATAGAGGAATTACGGTAGATCGCAAAGAGAAGAGATCCAAGCTAGGAATTTAAGGTAAGAGGGTAATTTGTCATTATAGTTAATTTGGGGTTTAGAGGTATGTGAGGATTTTTTAGGGGTTTTTATAATTTGATGATATATTGTATTGTGATGAAATTATGTTGAAATTGTTTTGAAATTGATGGAAATAACATGTTGAATTGCCATAAGTTTGTGTAAATAATGCTTATAAGATTGTATGGTTGTTATATGATGAATATGTGTTGAGAACTATGAGAATATGGATTTTATTGGCATAAAATAGCAAGAGGAATTGGGGCTGAATAGGTGTAGAATCGCAATAAAAAGTTGTTATATGCTACGAGTTTTTGGGTGATGCAACAACGACTAGTCATCATCGAGCAAGCTGAGAAGCGAAGGAATGGGAAAAAGTGGTGCTTCTGGATTTTGTATGGGGAAGGTCGCCTGGCTGGCACGTTGCCAAGCGATGCAAAAGGCGATGTAATGATATTTCTCTTCAGTCTATTTTCTTATTTCCTTCTTTATATTATTTTTGTTAATGACAAAAGGCGAATTAAGATATAAGTATTTAAGCTCATGAATCTGACATATTTTTTTCTTGCTTAAATTCTGAAGAATTATTATATTTTACTTTAATGATAAATTTAATTAACAGATATAACTTAGGGGTGCTTACAAACCTCGCCCTTAGGATTATCAAAGTCAGAGGGAGCTTACAAACCTCAGACCCTGAAGTCAACTTGTTAATTAAATCAACAACCATTGTTCTTAAATGTCTGTGTTTTTCATCATAAAAAAGGGGGATATTGTTGGAACAAAATTGGTTAATATCATATGCCTTAGGTTTTGATGATAACAAAGTATTTAAAGAACAATTGGATATACTAACATTTATTCAAGCGTGCAGGAACATAGATTAAAAATTATGATACAAAGTCAGTTCTGATACTGTATTGAACATCTAAAAAGAAGCTTAAAAGATGCAGATTCTAAAGATCAAACTCTGAAGAATCAGATTTTGAAGGAGATCAACTTATGAAGAAAGTTAACCTCTAAAGGATCAGAACCTAAAGACTCGAACTCTGAACCTGGTCAAGGATCAAACCTACGGATCAAAGTCTATGAATGAAGTCAACTCCTCAAGACTCGTCTTCTGAAGACTCAAACTATAAAGCCAGTCAAAGCTAAAGTATCAAGAAGACTATGACCAGTCACTATCAAACTCTAAGGATATTTTGTCTTCTTTTGATCACGAGAAGACTTAGAAGAATTATGAAGAAGACATAAGGAATACATCAACTAATTCCTTTTGAAGCAAAGGAATTTCAAATAGCCTTTCAACATCATTAAGCATATTAGGAAGCTTTCCAACATCTCTAATGATGCTTCTATAAAAGACTCTTTGTGCATGAAGTCTTCTTAACCAACCTTTTTATGTTCCTCTTTTTAATGAGCTAAAAATTTAAACAAAATAAGAATATAGCGCCTTGACAACCAAAGAGTTGTTACTCTGTCAAATCAAAAGCACAAACTTAACTTAGAATTTCTCAACTCTTGTATATTCTAGAAATTATTAAGTCCTAAGAGTCTCCTGTGTTGTATTTTATGTACACTTTTGATTTTATACCAAGTGTAATACTCAAACAATCGTTCTTTCTAAGTTACATTGTAGAAGTATCTTGCTTATATGCTTGAGCATCTGAAGTCTTTTGCTTGCGTGCTTGATCATCTAAAGTCTCTTCCAAAGGTTAAACAAGGAATGAGGGAAATATTTCATTTGGTACGATCATAAAAAAATTGGAAGAGCAAAGGAGAAAGTAAGGGCACGAAGAACACGAAGGAATTTCGGTAGACCGCAAAGAGAAGAGGCCGAAGCTATGAATTTTAGGTAAGGGGGTGATCTATCATTATAATTGATTTGGAGTTTAGAGGTATGTAGGGATTTGTTGGGTTTTGATAATTTGATGATATGTTGTACTGTGATGAAATTGTGTTGAAATTGATGGAAATGACATGTTGAATTTCCATGACTTTGTGTACATAATTCCTATAATATTGAATGGTTGTTATATGATGAATATATGTTGAGAACTATCAGAATCTGGACTGTATTGGCATGAAATCACAAGAGGAATTGGGGTTGAACAGGTGCAGAATTGCAACGGGAAGTTGATGTCTGCTACGCACCGCCAGACAAAGGAATATGTTGTCAAGTAATGCAACGATGCCTGGTCGTCATCAGGCGAGATGAGAAGCGAAGGAATGGGAAAAGTGGTGCTCCTAGATTTTGTATGGAGAACATCGCCTTGCTCGCGCATCGCCAGGCGATGCAGGAGCCGGATGTGCGTTCCCAGGAGAGAAAGATGCTTCGCCGGGTGATCGAAACCAGAGGAGAATGGTGGTGTTGTCACTTACATATTATTAGGTGAGCCTCAGGTGAGCAGACTGCTTCTCCGGGCGAGCACCAGGCGACAGACAATAATAGGATTTTTAAAAGGCCATAACTTGAGTTTTAGAACTCTGTTTGAGGCGTCGTTCAAAGCATGGAATAGCTAACGTGATGAACTAAATGTGGGTGGAATAAAATGAGTAAAAATATTTACATTTCTAGCACCTAGTATAAGGTAGACTTAGATTCTTAATTAGGTAGTCTATCATGATTTATGTTGTTATGACGAATTATGAATGTTATGGTGGTAATTATTGCACCCCAAAATTTACCCTCTTGATTTAGGCTTATGTTTCATTATAATCATCATATGCATACATATCATTGGTTCTATGATTATGGGATCAAGGTATTTTCGACAAACCTCAGTGAATTGCAGGAGACGTTTATTTCGTCAGTGGACGCTCTCAAAGTATTCCCTATACTAAGGATCGATTCGCCTTTTCGCAATGGTTCGAGTATTCGGATGTTCAAGAGGCCAATCTGGTTATTCATATTCAGGTTTTTCTTTCTCCAAGATATCCTTGGTGACGTATTCTCAAATTCATGTATGGCTTGAAATCTAGTTCTTTGAAGAAGGTCTCTGAATGTGTGAGTTTTCTCGAAGAAATACAGTAAAAAAAGTGTGCTGAAAGTGCAATTTTTGCGCACTAAAAAAATTCATAACTCGGATCCCGTGGCTTCCGTTTTTTTATCCAAAAGTACGTGCAACGCACTGAAAATTCTGAGTTGTGAATTAAAGTTGTCTGGGACAAAACTTCAAAAATTCATAACTTTCTCATCGTTTATCTGATTGAGCCCATCTTCGTACATGAGGTCGTTCTCGACATTGGCTACATTTTGGTTTCACATTTCAACTTAAGAAATTGCACCAAGGTTCCAGCGAATTTTACCTGAACGTGTCGAACTCCTATGTATTAAAAATTTGCACTTTGGTTTGTGGTTATTTGAGGCTCATAACCAAATCCATTCACATAATTTCACACTATATATTCCTTTTAACTCCAATTTTCAAAGGGGCGCTCATAATTCACAAATTTCACAAACACTAAATTTCTTTTCTACCAATTCTTTCAAAGATCAAATCAAGGTTCTACACCTTTTTCATCAATAACATAACAACAATTGCATCAAGATCCAAAAGTCAAGATCAAGAGCAATTCTTCTCCGATTGTTGATCCATTCATTGCGATCTCTATATCTAAGCCTCCTCCCACTTCTATCGGTGAGTTTTCTTGACTTAAACACTTCTTGAAATAAGTGATTATTTGAGAAGCACTTTTTGATCAAACATGAATTGAATCTAGGTTGAAATTTGAATTGAGAATATAGATATAAGCCTAGGATTTTGAATAGATTTGATAATCATGTGTAAATCCGGAATTGGATAGTTGAATTAAGAGCTTATTGAATTAAGTTGATTCTCATGAAAGTGCTTAATTGATAAAACAAATTGATGATGTAGCATGAAGCTTAATTGTTGATCCTTAATCCATAATGTGTAATTTAAGTTTGAGCTTTGAATTATGCAAAAATCATGTGTTTGATGTGTGAAGATCTTGTGTTTGATCAATTGCCTAAGCCATGAAAATGCTCAAAAATATGTTAAAACTGTTTTCTGCCCGAGGGTAACGGGTTACCCAAATATGTTAAAACTGTTTTCTGCCTGAGGGTAACGGGTTACCCAAATATGATAGCGTGGTAATCGGTTGCCTAGTTGTGGTAACTAGTTACCCCAAGTCAGAAGCAAATTTCCAAAATCTTTAAAGTTTTGGTAACCGGTTACCCAGTTATGCTAACTGGTTACCCTAAGTTAGAATTTTTTTTTCAAAATATTCAAAGTTTTGCTAACCGGTTACCCAGTTATGGTAACCGGTTACCCCAATTCAGTAGCCAATTTCTAGAGTTTTCAACTTTTGATAACCAGTTAGCCAGTTATGGTAACCGGTTACCCAGACAGAAATATCAATTTTTGATTTGTTTTATTGCATGTTTACACATATTGTCTTGTTAATTCTAACTCCTGTTGTGAATGATTTTCTAGGTACATTGTTAGGCCTTCAACCTTTAATTAGCACTTGGTTATCGGTTGAAAGGCATTTCATTTGATCACTTGTTAGTGAGAATTTGTGTATGATGCACAAG